ATAAAAAATTTAGTCATAAATATAAATATACTAATTGTAACATTTTTAACACTAAAAGAATATATTTTAAAATAAAAATATTTTATTATTCAAATAATTAATGATGTTATTAATACCCAAGGACCTTGATCAAAAATTGAAAATGAATAGGATTTTAATCAATAGAGTAGCAAAAAGAAGGATGTGAACCTAATTTCTCCTTTTAAAATTTATACTCTTATAAAAACATATATAAATATATCATCCGAATAATTTTGGTGCTCCCAACTTTTTTGACTCCTGAACGGTCGCTCTGCTTGCACTGGCCTAGGCCAGCCCTGCTGGTAAGTAACCTTGGTTTGAAATAATCGAAAAATCAATTGTCTTTCTACGGTAATAAAAACACTCAGATATCAAATCTCCTTTTTTACTAGTGAAATAAGCAGAAGCTGTCAGTGTACTGCCTTTTGCCTAACACCACCATCTTCATACTCCACCTGAAATTTAAAGGAATAGATTCACATTGGAGCGAAAAGTTACATATGACAACACAAGTACACACTTTTTTCCCATGATTTTTATACACGAGTTAGCCTTGCCTCATAAACCTTTTTTTTTTTTAACTCACGACTGAGTAGCACGTAAATCCTGGCTTCATCTATGAGCATAAACTATAACCTTCTCCGTCACTGCAGCCCTTCCAGATTTTCCTCTCTTCTACCCTCTCTCTTTATCTTTTTTCGTGGTTTTGTCATTATTTTCTCCCTGTTAAAACATATAGCACAGTAAATTGTCATGATACACAACGACTCAAAACAACTTCGTTAATATCAACATCAGAAAGGTAGTGAAACCACAATTATGAGATGACTGGACATCGATCCGAAGCATAAGAAAAATCATTATACAAACCTTGTTTTTTAAGGCAAGCTTCCTTACGCGTATCCGCATTTTAATCAACCGTTGCTTTGTTTTGTGTACAAGAAACTTAGGCAATGCATCTGCCAATTCGGAAAAGGTCATGTTGATCAACCACTTTGAAGAAGCTCTTGCTCTAAGAAAGCTAGTACGTACTAATCAGTAACAGTTGAAAGAGGATCCAGATTCTCAATACCAGATGCTTGTCAGTTATTTCAAGTGCTTCCTATAATTTCTGGGCAACTTAACTCTCTCCTACAATTTTTTTTGACATTTGAGTTCTTTCCATAGTTTTCATATATATATATATATATATTTCTTTTTTTTTGTCGAACTATAGTTTTCATATATGGATAGAAGACTCCTACAGGCACTAACATAACATATGAGAACATTATCCGCATTTCTGGGAGTGTAGGAACGAATTTGTTGATATCAGTATAGTTAGAAATGTAAGTAAACTCTTCTAATTAAGATCAACAAAACTATAGAAGCTTTGGGTAAATATACTTTCGTGAAAATTCAAAAGGCTGCTCGTGTTGATTAACGGGAAACTTACGTGAACATATATAGCGTATATGTTCGTGTTTTTAGCACACTGAAAAAAATCTCTTCTGCTTTGGAGGTGGGTTACTAAGGGAAGAAACTTCAAATTTTTGGGCATGCCCCATCCCAAGACGATAATTGTTTTTTATTTTATTTTTTCAAAAAGAAAATTCTGCACAGATATCGTCCACATGGTGTCACAGTGCTACTGCATAATCATCATCCACGTGGGCGTCACTTCACTCTTTAATGGAGCTCCTGACGACCAATCTAACGGATTTATGAATCTGGGAGAAAAACTTAACTTTTAGGTATGAAAATGGGACCAAAAAAACTTCATATTTAAAAGTGTAAATTTCATGATACTTAAGAGTAGTAAAAGGAGAATTACCTTTATTTTTTTTAGACTTTTTAGCCAAAATGGTATCCGGGATTGACATAATTCCTCACTTTGGTCTCTAATATTTGAAATCAATAGAAGTGGTTTATGAGTTTGTTCATCATCAATCATTTTGGGCATTCCGTGAAAAATTCTATTAAATAAGAATTAAAATGACAAAAATACCTTCAATTTAATAAATAATGGGACAAAATGTTTTGACAAAAATTGAGAGTATTTTTTTCGTTTTATTATTAGTTAATGGAGATTTGTTATGGAATGACTAAAATAATTAATGATTGACAAACTCAAGATCAATCTATCGATTTCAAATCTCAGGATCCAAAATAAAGAATTATGTCAATCTCAGAAATCATTTTAGTTAAAAATAATTTTTTTTACAAGAAACATTACAATTACATACATTTCAGAATGCAGATTCCGAAACACGGATCAACCAGAGCTCGCAGGTGTTGTCCTCGGGATCCAACACAATACATTACCACTTTTTCTGCACCCCCCCCCTCTCTTTGTCAAAAGTTGATTCAATAGCCACTTACTACTATGGTTTAGTAGTATTTCTATTTATTTGTAAGTGAGAGGTCGTAGGTTCGATTCACACTAAAAGCGAATTTGAACCATATTATTGCTAACACATTATGAGGCTAAGCTCACCCTCTCCCTCGATGTAAGTAATATCATTTATTCAAAAAAAAAAAAAAAAAGTTGATTCAATAATGATGGTCTCTACTCTCTACTGCCACATTTCTACTTTTTAACAAGGACGGATTTGCAGGTGGTCCTCTACCACAGTTATGAAGATGAGTGACACCCTTGCATGACGGCGTGGGTTCGAACCCTGCCAATGGCATGTTAAATTTCTAACTTAACGATAATATCGCTCTGATTAATTTATCCACAAGATATTCAAGATAACAGACGATGATCTCCAGATCCTCTTTGTGAAGATCTGAGGATCAATGATCTGAAGATAAATCAATCGTGTTGTTCCTATTCCCAAGATAAATCAATCGTGTTGTTCCTATTCCCAAGATAAATCAATCGTGTTGCTCCTATTCCTAAACAACTAAATAAATATTAGTTCACTGGTTATCTTTATGTCAAGAATGTTTCAGAGTCGGCCATCCGATTAATACTAATCAAATCGATGTTATTACAACTTAACTATCTACATAACTTAACAAACGTTGTATTTTATTACAAAAATATTGGTATAATTACAATGTAGTCATTCGCTATAAATTATTTTGTCAAACTTTCGATATATAATTACATTCTTCAAATCTTATATTCTCAAAATTCTCCAGGTATAGAATTAATGGAACTTCATAATATTTTTGTGTTTTTTTGTGAGTGGGGCCGGCGAATCTCATCCCCTGAATGCTACGCGAGTGGAGTGAATTAGGGAGGGCCTTCTTTATCAATATATTTTTTTTTTTCCCTTTTCAAAGAGAATGTCTCCATCTCCATCATCTGTCATCCTTTTTCTTGTAGTATATATATAGTTTTAAAATACTGGATTTAAACTAATTACGTGCAGCTTCATGAACCAGTGTAGCTATGTTACAATCTCCAGCTGGCATGTATGGAACAAATATATATTTGGAGACATTAGGTTTACATTCTTATTTTTTCTACTCCATTGATTAAAACTTTATTCTTTTCTAAATTTTGATCAAGGTCATTCGATTTTAATAAACGACATTAATTATTCAAAAATAAAATATTTACATGTCAAGATAATTAAGTTTCATTTTTAAATATATTCATTTAGTGTTAGAAACGTTACATTTGATATATTATATTTATGGCTAAACTTTTTATCATATATTTCTATTTCTAGTTTGTACCCATTTTTAATTTGCAACCATTTTTTTAAATTGTACCAATTTTCTTTTAAATTTTAATTTGTATCCATATATTAATTTCTTTTTTGTCCCTTATTTTTTAAACTTTTATTTGTACTCATAATTTTTTAACCTTTTATTTGTACCCATAATATATTTATAATGTACCCATTTTTTACAAATGTACCACTTTGGTATATGTAAAATGTATCCTTATTTTTTTTTTGGTAAGTACCATTTTTTAATGTAAAATCTATTTATTTTTTAATCTAAAATGTACCATTGTTTTTTTTTTAAATATAAAGTGTACCCATGTTTTTATGTAAATGTACCAATTTTTTATATATAAAATGTAGTCAAATTTTATTATATAAATGTACTCATTTTATAAAAATAAAATAAATAAAATAAAACCCCTTTTTTATATATATAATCTAGAATGCACCCATAAGCAATTATTATTATTTTTTGTTTTTATCAAAAACCATAAGCAATTTTGAATAATTAAATTGGTAGTGTAAATGAAAGTTTAAAAAAAAAAACGGTTGAGTCTTTATTGATATTATTGCATCTCTTTTATTATTATGTCATTTATGTAATAGGAGAGGGACTTCAATCAAAAGTATAAAATGCATAAGGTTTGAGTCTATAATAATTAGGGACCAAAGACCGCAACTAAACTATCCCTATTTTTTTATGGTTTAGTCCCATTTTATTTCACATTCAATAAATATGTAGGTATTAATATATAGATAAGTTCATTGTCCAGTTGTGATTCGATACCTAAATGAATATAATGTATGATCCCCCCGATGCTTCCAAATTATATCACTATTGGATGTTGGATTCATATATGTTTATTTGATTTGATTTGATATGAAATCACCATGCATCATCCATCTGATCTCTTAAATTCTCCAGTACTCCTACTGCCTTCCCATCCCTGTAGCATCCAATCGCAGCAAGCCACAGATCGAATATAGCCAAGAACTTACTTTTGTCATGGCGATCATGCATGTATGGACTACGTTATAACCATCATAAAACTCCATTTTTCGTAAGGGTTAAAAATGCCTTCCCATCCCTACCATCCGATCGCAGCAAGCCATACATCGAATTTGGTCAAGAAATTTTTATGTCATGAAGATCATGCATGTATGGACAATATGTGTAACCATCATAAAACTCCATTTTTCATAAAGGTTAAAATGTCAAAGCATATTGATATCTGAAATTAGAAATGCCGACGACGACGAAGGAAGCCAAGAAGTGAGAATGTAATAAATATCCTGATTTTAAGTTCTAAAAATATGGGCAGGTAAGAACGTAGCAAGAGTGCTACTTCCTTAATCGTAATACCCACAAAACTGAAACACTTATTGACAGATTTTGATAAAAAATAGGTCTTACGTGGGTAATGCTATTTAAAACACAAACGGCGCATTCATAATTGCTAACATTTTCTTATACATGTAGGTCTTACATACAATCATAGGACCTACAAGTTGAAAATTAGAGTACTCATAACGATCGAACAAACGCAAGATAAACTATGAACATTGTTTTATTAAACGGAAAACAAATAAATGAGATTGATGATCAGACAACTACAAATTGCTACAGCTTGACTGACTTAATTCTCGTACTAAACTACAAGTTATATTTATCTTAAACTCCGTAATTTAACACATAAAAACCAATAATCAAATCAACTGAGGAGGGTAGTAGATTCGATTCCCTTTCCTTACTGTCTCTATTTCATGTTAACAAGCATGCAGATACATGTATTCAATTCCCTGTTGGCCTTTTTTCTACTTGACATGCTACACATTTGTAGTCTTGAATGGTGGTCCTATGAGGTGCTCATTTTGCTTTCTGGGCTGTTAGCAAATCCAAAACTGGAGACATCAGTGCTTTCTATATGGTATGTTTCCTTCATAATTATCTAATGTCTTTGATACATTTTGAAGATTATGCAGCATGCTAATGGTTTTTCATTTCCATCGAGTTTGAGCAGCTTTACAGTTACTTATTTGCACTACTACGTACCATATGCTTTTGGAGCCACAGTAAGGTATGCCCTTAACCTGATCCTGATAATGGCAAAGAGAATTTTAATTCAAATTCGTATCTAAATTGTTTTCAAAGAATACTTTTGCCGATTTTGTAGCACTAGGGTTTCAAATGAGTTAGGAGCTGGGAATCCTCGTGCTGCTAAAGTGACAGTCTGTGCTGTTACAGTTCTTGCAATCACGGAAATAATTGTTGTAAGCACAACTCTTTTCTCTTACCGCCATAATCTCGGATATGCATTCAGCAAAGACAAGGAGGTAGTGGAGCGTATTGCAGATATGGGTCCTCTTATTAGTCTTTCCATTGTTATGGATGGGTTACAAGCACTACTTTCAGGTTTGTTTCCCAAACTTCACTTCCACTCCTTCTTTAGAGGGTCATTGGTGCCTCTAGGAACTAGAAAAACGAGATATCAATATAAATTTGTGTTATGCCAATGCGCTGGGCTCACATATCACGTACGCTCACATATCACGTACGGAGTCTGGCGCAGTGCATGATTTGAACCTCTTGCATTTTCAGCAGTATTTTTAATATTCATACAAAGCCTCTGAGATCTAGGAGACATGCTCATGACGGTTAATTTTGTTTCAAATTAGGGGTTGCTAGAGGAACAGGATGGCAGAACATAGGAGCTTATGTAAATCTAGGGGCATATTATTTGGTTGGCACTCCTGTGGGTGTGGTGCTTGCCTTTGGTGTGCATTTGAGAGCCAAGGGCCTTTGGATTGGATTATTGACAGGGTCTACTATTCAGGCTATCCTGCTTACTCTTAAAACTAGTCTCACAAATTGGCAAAAGCAGGTTCAAGCTCTCTTTCACCAATTATTTTTTCATTATTATACATACAACACTTTTCCAGTATGGTTTACCAATCACACAGCTGATTATTTTCTCGGCACTGACAGAAGCAGTTTTATCATCACCAACAATGTCAAACTTGCCCCAAGCATGATATGTTAACTAATTAAGCTCATGTGGAATGATGCAAGCTTCACTTGCAAGAGAGAGGATGCTGAAAGAGGTCGTACGTACCTAGAGAGGAATCAGTTGGATAATATATATATAATCTCCAAAAAGAGGAGAAGACTTAACATACAGTTTCAGGAGTAATTCATGAGAATGAGCATCTAGCAAGTTTCTATAAAAAGGACATATAAATCCACGTTGTACTCTTTTATGTTCGACTAGGTTTATGTCTCATAGGGTTTTCCATAACAAGATTTTAACAAAGCATCATAAATGCGTACGACACCATTTCAATTGTCTAGAAGAATGCAGTACTATTTTTTCCTTCCCTTTAGTTTTGCCCCACTATGTTTTTCAAGTAAAGGTTTTAACAAGGCAAGGCGCAACTATGTCTTTTTTGAGATAGAGATGAAAGTCCAACACACAAAATCTATTCTCTTTTTAAGCTGTATTCTAAGCTGAAGGAATTCTTCCGGTTTGCTATTCCTTCAGCTATAATGACCTGGTAATCAACTCATGTTTTCTTCCCCTCTTCAAGAAAATTATGGTCTTGGATTTCTTGAGTTATATGACACACACTCATACAGCGAAGTGTTCTGTTGGTAGACTGTAAACATAGACCATTGATTAGCTAATTCTTTCATGAATATGTGGTCGATATGGCCTTTTAGGTAAACATCGCGTTAATCCTTCTTTCTTAGAGGGTCACCTCTATATTGACTTTCAGGTTTGTTTCCTAAACATCGCGTTAATCCTTCTTTCTTTAGAGGGTCACTGCTTGTAAAACCCTGTCTCGAATTATGTATGTTGGCATATTAACGGAGTTATAAAATGACCAGTTTGCCTCCTATCACTTACCCAATCTGGTTTCCTTTTTGGATTTTCTCCAAATTCTTCCCCTCTCTTTGCTTGCCACGTGGCACCACCCCACCCCCATCTCTTTTCTCTCTCATTCTCTCATTCTCCCCGAGCCCTCTCACTCTCTCTCTCTCTCTCTCTTGCACACTATCTCCCTCTCATCGATCTACACACACACACACACCATCATCACCACCTGTTGGCAGTGACGACAACCCTCGACCTCAACCAAACACCTAACAAATCGTTTCTCTTTCCCAACATCGTTACAGTCACGGTACAAGCATTTTTCGACGAAGGTAAGTCGAAATCACCCTTCAATCTCCTTCCTCCATAGTCTAGACTGCTTGGTTATTTAATGGAAAATGGTTTTGGTGAAGGTTTAAGCACGAAAACAACTAAGGGAAGCATTTTTTCAATTTTCCCATGAAATACCGTAGGTTTCAAGACATTTTCCGATCGTCTCTGATGCCAACTCCAACCCATCTTGGTACGACTTGGATCCCTACTATTTTATCTTCATTTTGGCTTTTGTATGATGAAATTTGGTTAAGGTTTGACCCTAAAACGGAGTCAAGGAGATTCCCGACCAAATCTCCAGCCTTCTCCCTCGCAAAACCAGGTTGAGACCCAAACCCAAGCCTTGGGCCGGGCTTTCAGGCCCAAAACCCAAATGAAACAAGGCCTTTGGGTCGTAATGACTTGGGTATTTGGCCCATTAAACCCTCGGCCCAAACCCTTAGAACCCAAACCCAAAATCCTTTTAACCGAGGCCCTTGGACTGTACAAACTAGGGCATTCGGCCCGTTAAAACTAGCCCAAACCCTTTGGACCCAAGTCCAAAGCTCAGGCCCAAACCTAACAAACCCTAGGCCCAAACCAACTAACCCAGACCCCAGGTAGCGGGTAAGCTTGCGTGTGGGCGCGCATGAGAGCGGTTGCCCGTGTCGACGCGTAGAGCACATACGCCACCGTCCACGGTGAAGCCGGTGAATTTTCCGGCCACCCACAGCGGCACGTGGCTACCGGAGCCGCCACTTTGCGATGGGGCGTAGGGGTACTTGAGGTCCCTCCTTATGTTTTTCGACATCCTGAATCTATTTATAACGTCCACTTTCAAAAATTCAATCATTATGGTAGAGTTTTATTAATTGGACCCTTTATTTGTTTAGGTGCGATTATTAGCGGGGATTCCGTCATTCTTATTTCGCACGGCTCTTCGACGACGGAGTATCTGTGAGTGGACCCCTTCTAAAATGCATAATTTAATAGTATAAATGCATACATGAAAAACATGATTTAATAATTACGTTTTATGAAACATTTTATGAGTAAATTAGATTTACACTTCATTATTATCATGCTTTACTGAGACTATTTTGGAATACCATACTTTATCGAATTTATGTTCTTTGTACTAGATATGATGGATGACTATATACTATTTATGAACATGTTTTTACACTCTTTATAGTATATATGATGGATGACTATATATTATGAAGATGTTTTGAGATATATGTACTTATGTTGGAAAGATTATATTCAATGTTTTTGTGCATATCTAGTGGTCACTGTCATGCCTACGGGCGTATGTTATGCCTACGGGTGTATGTCCTGCCTACAGGCTCGTGGCGGTCTTGCCTACAGGCGTATGTTCTGTCTACAGATGTATGTCCTGCCTACCGTATGTTCTGTCCACGGATGTATGTCCTGCCTACAGGCGCGTGATGGAGAGCCTTCAGGCAATTATGATACCACTAGTTATCACACTAAATATGATATATATTTTAAGAAAGGTTTTATGGCATGCTAGTGTTTCCAGAAACCTATTACATATTATGCTATTAGTTTTCATAAACTTTTGGGGTTAGTACGTTGTTGAATAACTATGTTTGCACTACTTATACATCAACTTGGTCCACTCATGTTTGTTTTGCGCCCCCTCAGGATATTGGAATGAGGCTTACGATCCAAGCTACGAGGCATTCCCCTACCAGTGACATCGTGCCATCCTTTCTGCTTTGACATCATTGTAATAGCATTTTCCCCTTGTATTCTGAATTAGATGTATGCTCTGAACATGTCATGCATTATCACTATCATTATCATTGTTGGTAGTTGAATATTATTATATTATTTTATAAGGTTTATGTTGGAATATTACATTGCGTAGTTCGCGCGAAATTTACATGCATGTTTCACATGTTCTCAGCATATGCATTCATTAAATGGCTTGCGTCACCCTCGGGTGTTGGCCATCATGTGGCCATCCCAATATCCCTCGGACATCAAGATCGGGGCGTGTCACTGCTGCATCTAGGAATTGGAAAAGCACTTGCGTTGACCAATCACACTAGGCTCATATTTCACATACGGTATCCATCATAAAGTTTCATACCTATAGGCAGTGCACAAGATGTAGAAATGTTTTTGTATGAGCATACATAATCTTTTGTGGTGAGGGTGGGAGAAGAGAGGAAAGGGTTAAGGAATGACCATGCATGATGTTATGGCGTAAGTATTGTGACCTATATAACCAATTTGCTCTCTCTGAAATTTACCCTTTTATTTATACCCGATAGCCGTGGATAAACGGTCGAGTGGAGCAGATTTAAGAATGAAAATTCGGGTATTCTTCGGATATGGGAAAAAAACCGTAAAATATTATTCAGTTATGATTTTGAATATGGTTAAAGGAGTCCCCAATCTGCACTTATCCCTGAATCTGCCCAAATAATATATTACAATAGGAAGGATTTGTGGCACTACTTTCTTTTTGCAACTTTTGACACTCATTTTTGTGGACCCACTTCATAATGTGTTTCAACGTTCAGCCTCATTTCTCTGTAGTCTTGGGTTCTTCAAGAGACAATCGGATGCATCTTTATTTATCCACCACTCCTTTACATGCTCACTCTATGTTTTGGTGTCTGTAGATGACCATATTCTAACAGGTCCCAACTCTGATGCAGTTCGAAAGTTTATACATTTGTGCACTACCTTTACCAGTCGCAAGTTAGGGGAGCTTAATTTCTTTATCGGCACAGAGGTCATTTGACATGGCAATCATCTATCTCTCTTTCAAACTTGTTATGCCTCACAATTATTGAAGAAATTCAAAATAGAATTATGTAAGCCATGCCTTACACCATTTCTCTCCTCTACACGCTTGTCCGCTCATAATGGCTTTTCTATCTTTGATCCTGAAACATATTGAAGCATGGTTGCTAGTCTACAATATTTGACTTTGACACGCTACAATATCACCTATGTTGTCAATCAAGTTTGTCAGTACATGCACAATCTCAAATCACCTCATCTTTAGGCTGTCAACGCATATATTGCTATATAAAAGGCACCGTTGAGCATGGTCTTCTCTTCCGTTCATCCCATGATTTCTCTCTTCGTGAATTTTCCAACGCTGACTGGGTGGATTCCATTGATGATTGTCGGTCCATAAATGGTGCTTGCATACTTCTTGTCTCAATCTCCTTACTTGGATAACCAAAAAGCAGTCCACTGTACATGTCTCGCTCTAACTCGGATGCCACGACTGCAGCTGATACGATAGTTTTGTTATCTCTTTTGTGAACTAGGCATTCCACTTCGCACTCCACCATGCATCTTTGTCGACAATGTTTCAACTCTTTTTTTCGGTAACATGGAAGAAGAAAAAGAAAAACTAAGGAATAATTAATCTAGTTGTAGCGACTCCAGAGCAATCATCGGAAAGAGTTTGAACTAAACAAGGAGGAGGCTATGCAAGCTCTTGAAACTCCATCTCACAATTTAAACCCAATTTGACTAACTCGTCAGCTACAAAATTACGCTCTCTATAAATATGTTGCACACTACAATTCTAATTCTCTATGATTAAACTTCTGCATTCCGAGACAAGACCATAAAGAGGATGATATTAACGATAGGCGAACCATGAATGAGTGAGATTGCCAAAGAATAATCAACATCCACAATAAGTTGAGAGAAATTTCTAGCTTTTGCTATCTTCAACCCATAAAACAAAGCCCAAAGATTAGCATGGAGAACTTCCCCAACTCATTTTTTAAGCCAAAAACCAATGATCCGTTACCGTGCCAATCTCTAATTAATTCCCCACTTCCAATCACCCCTTTAGAACCAAGCCTAGCACCATCCACATTTAACTTAAAGGTCCTAGAAGGAGAAGGAACCCAAGCCAAGAGAACCTGCACATGGTTGTGTTTACTCGAGATGCTAACACATGGCCGCTAATCCTATTTTTCATGTGCGTACTAGTCATGCAGAGATTGACTAACACTTTGTTTGTGAGCTTATCGTTGAAAGAGTCCTTCATACTCAACACATCTCTTCTTATAAACAAATTGCTGATGTCTTCACTAAATGACTTATCCGTGAACAGTTCTCTTTCCTTATTTCCAAACTCAATCTCCACTTTGTTCCGTTTCGCTTGAGGGGGGATAGCATTATCCAATCAACCTCTAATCTCTCCAATGAATCTGCTGTTAAACTGTGATTCCACCAATCTCTCCTTATTGTTGTAAGCAAGGGCGGAGCCAAGTACAAGGCTCCCCTAGGCTATAGCATAGGGAGAGTTTGGTTCTTCAAGCTTAAAAATATTAATTTTTGGGTTTGTTTATGTTTTTTAATTGTCATATTGTACTTAATAAATGAATTTTTTATTTATTAGTAAGGTTGTTTTTAAGAATAATAAGAGCTAATAGATGTTAAATAAACTCATCACTTTAACCAATATTATATTTAATAGTAATAAATTAAAACTTCCATACCACAAATGGTTCCTTATTTTATTCACTTGAAAGCCTTGAAGGCTAGAAACCTAGAAAACATAGCATAAAATTCTTGCTTTAAATTACTACATTCAAGTTACTATTATATAACTTTCTGTAGGCAACATAAGATTAAAAATTTGATTTCGTAGTAATAATTTTAGCTTAGCCCACCCACCGAATAATTTCTGGCTACGCCATTGGTTGTAAGTAAATAATCAATAGTTATTAGTTGCCTGTTACAAGTTATACAAAGTCAACTATTTGATTATATATCTGTATCAATAGAATGAGCAAAGGGTTCATCAAGTATTTACTCCATAACACAGATTCTTATTCTTTGCTCTATTTCCTTATTTCTGCCATTCTCTATTTCTCTATATATAATATATGCACAAGGGGCCTATTTTTTAAAATGATTTTGTCAAGCATGTAGTGCTGTCCTTGATAAGTTTTTAAGTACCATTAACCACTGAAAGATTCAATTTTAATTATCAACTTCTGATCAGGTTTGAATTATAGTTCTTCTTGGTCCTCTCATTCATAAGATTGACATGCCTCAACATAAATTTTCTCTAACAGTAATAGTGAAAAACTGAACTGAATTTTATTTTGGGATGATGCTATTACTTAAACACTCTCTATAATACGGGTGATGCTCACACATAATACTAGAGCTCATATTTATCAAAGAGTGTGTCGACGGATGTGTTATTTTTGTTTGCCGAGATAGTTTTGTTGTTTATTTTTATTATCTACTAGACCAATCATAGGAAAAGGGAACAAAAATGCATTCATACTTAATAACCATTTCTCAACAATTTCATATTTGTCATCTCTCAGAAATAGGCATGAAATTTTGTACATCTGTAACTTCTTTTGTTTTGAGGGAGGGTGGCCCTTATAGATGAGACTCCTTTGAGCTAGAGTTATTGTTTAACACTTCTTACTTTGGCCTCTGATGTAACGTTTCCATTTGAATTCTATCGTTTGAAAAAATGTAATAAGTGATTGCCCATACACACTAGTATTATTGCGTAATTAATCTCAATGACAAATTATTTGCATTACACATCAAATAATGTAAACAATGGGAGCAATAAAAATTAAAATCACACGATCGAGTACACTCTTCTAAAGCTGATTTAAAAAGTAGCCAAAGAGTTTGTGGTCCTTCTTCACACAACACAAATCGATCCAACCTCAC